TTTTGAGGTTTGATTCCTCGTTTATGATGTTATTTTGGCGATTTGATCGCACGGTAAGTTCGTAGGATGTTGTTGAGTTAGTGTGTGTGATTGGTTAGGAGCCCCGAGGGCTCGGGAGTGTTTTCGGAGGTGTTCGGGGTGGTTTTGAACTTAGTGAAATTGCAGAAAAATCCGCAGCAGGTGCACAGTAAATTCCTTCATCGCGTTTGCGATATCTCCTTCGCGTTCGCGAAGCTTCAGGTTCCTCTCTCCTTCGCGTTCGAATCCCTTCACCGCGATCGCGTAGAGTTATCGAGTTCTGAGGGCCCAGCCCTCCTTCCTTCTTCGCGTTCGCGATGGCTGGACCGCGTTCGCGTAGGTCTCCAGCCCCTTCCCATCGCGTTCGCATACAGGCCAACGCATTCGCGTAGGCCAAACTCCTTGGACCCCACTAATTCCTTCTTCGCGTTCGCATCCTTACTCTCACGAACGCGATGCTTGTTCGACCCTACTCATCGCGAACGCGACCCCCATGTCGCGAACTCATAGAGTAATTTCACCCAGCGATTTTTAAGTCATAAAAACAGAACAGTGTCGGGTTTTATTCAAAAAATACACGAACCCTTTCTTCTCCAAAGCTTCTAGGCGATTGTTAGGGCATTTCTTCATCAAAGCTTCTTGGGTACGTATTGTTTAACTTGTCTCCTTCATTTTCCATCATCATTTATCAAATTCCTAGGCTCAAATCATGTGATTTAGGGTAGAAATTGGGGGAAATGGGTAGAGTTAGGGCTTTTTGATTTTTCTTGATTTAGACCTCGTTTTGGGGTCGAATTTGAAAAAAATTGTATATCCGGGCTCGTGGGGGAATGGGTGATGTGAAATTGGTTCGAACCTCGGATTTTGACCAAGCGGGCCCGAGGTCGATTTTTGGAATTTTGGGAAGAAAGCTTAGAAATTCATATTTACGCATTGGGTTTAGTTTGTTTAGCTATTATTAATATTGTAAAGTCATTATTTCATAGATTTGCCTGAGTTGGAGCCGAATTCGAGGGGTAAAGCTATACTAGAGGCTTGAGTTGAGTTTGGAGCATTCGAGGTAAGTGTTTGATCTAACTTTGGCTTGAGGGAATAGGATTAGAGTATTATTTGCTAATTGCTAAATGTTGAGTACGGTGTATAGGTATGGTGACGAGTATCTATACACCGGTGTCTAGCATGACCGTGGGTCTTTATTTGTGCTTAATTGGGATTCTGTAGTGACTCTTCCTTGTTAATTGATGGTTTCTATATGATATGAAGAGAATGAGAAGGAAATATGATGTGTAAACTCTTTGGAGCGTTGGCTCGATTTTTGACTTGATTAAAAAGTAAGAAATGAACGTAAGAGAAAGAGATGTGATTATTCCCTTGCCGGGACGTGTAAGTTATTGTTGTTGCTCCCTTGCCGGGATTTAACTGCTTAGTCGTATTCTCCCTTGCCGGAAAACCACTTATATATTATGAAATGGGATCGTGTGGCACGCCGACCACTTATATATTATGAAATGGGATCGTGTGGCACGCCGACCACTTATATATTATGAAATGGGATCGTGTGGCACGCCGACCACTTATATATTATGAAATGGGATCGTGTGGCACGCCGACCACTTATACATTATGAAATGGGATCGTGTAGCACGCCGACCACTTATATAGATTATGAGATCTGATGTAGTTTCGTGTTTACTTCTGATAAGTTATTTTCATCTGTATTTTCCCTAAGCATGTCCCCTCCCTGCCTTAATTGGTATTTTCTGCTGTTATTTCGTTGCACTTGTATATACATATATATCTGCACAGGTTGTTTTTGGTAGGTCCTGTCTAACCTTGTCACTACTTCGCCGGGGTTAGGCCAGGCACTTACCAGCATATGGGGTCGGTTGTGCTGATGCTACACTCTGTGCATCTTTTTGCACAGATCCAGGAGCAGCTTTTGGGCCTCAGCAGTAGGATTTGATCGGGAGCTGACTTCAGTCCAGGGACTCTCGAGGTAGCCTAGCTGACGTCCGCAGGCCGGAGTCCCTTCTATGTTATTAGTTTGTTTTCCTTGTACCGGGACAAACATTGATGTACTTCTATTCAGACTTGTTTTTAGCACTCTTTAGTAGTTTGTGAGTTAGTGACACCGGATCTGGGTAGAGTTGTATTTAAACTTCCGCATTTGGTTTTCGGTTATCTATGTTTTTAAGACTTCCGCTTTTATTTAAATGACTCGTTTTATTTATATCGTTGTGATGTTATCAGAAAATGTTTTAATACTTGGCTTGCCTAGCTCCGATAGTAGGCGCCATCACGACTCCCGATGGTGGGAAATCCGGATCGTGACAAAGATTCAATGATTAATTCCACTTGGTGTAAGTGCTACAGAAGAATGTATACATTTGTGCAACATATGTTCAGAGCAAGCCACCTATCGCTTTTCAGGTTCTCTTCCTGTCTAGAAATGTTTGCCTGCATCTATGAAATTCGAGTGGAATCTTTAAAAGCCAACTTTGTTGCTTTCTCTTGCCATTTGAAAAGTAATAATGCTTTAAGCATGTAAGCCTCTGCATCATTCTTCACACGTCGTAATTGAAGACATGAACAGCATAAATGCATTTCTTGGAGCCCAAGGAAATTATACTTTATGTAATGGTCTAACCTCTTACCTCAAAGTTATCTCTTTCTTTCTCAGCTAACTTAACCATTTGAACAACACCAGACCTTCTTTCATTGAGGGTTTCTAGCCTATGAGAGCACCAAGAAATTCTAGAGGTATTACATGCATCTTTTTAGGCACATAAGCTTCTCATTGAGTATACACAAGGCGCTCACGATAGTAAATTAACAGACAAAGCTATAAGAATGAGGATGCCACTTGTACACAAGGGAGAAAAGAAAGAGTAAATTGGTAAGGAAAAGTGTAGCATAACTATTAACAAGATTCAATCTGAAACTAAGAGGAGACTGACATTGAGACTCCGATTTCAAATTGTTTCTTTGTGCCATAAGAATTTCATTTCAGAGTGAGAACCAACTGCTTAAATGATTCATCAATCTTCTCAATGTATTTGTCACTTCCTATTATATCCTCTAAATACTTGAGAAAGCCTTCATTATGGGGTCCTTGTCCCTTAGGCTTCATCAGTGATATTTGTTCAACCTCACCCTACAAAAGAACCAACAACTTCAACTCCATAAGAATAGAGTCCAATTTGTGAAATTAAGGTCACATAACAAAAATAATTTAAACCTGAAGAATCAGAGACCGGTTGTTATCTAAATCAATCCCTTTCCTTTCAGCTTCTTACTAACCTCTGTAAAGTTACTTGTCCGGTCATTGGTAAAGTACTTAGAGGAATTATCTCGATATGCCACACGTGTAATTACAAAATAGCTTCCAGGAACAGCTTCATATGTCTCACCGTCCTATAAACAAAACAAACACTTGCTTAGAATCTAACAGAAGTTCCAAAGGAGTATCTTGGAAACAGGAAAATCCACAATTACCAAATCAATTATTTCCTGAAAATGAATAAGACACACCAACACTTTCCAAATTCTGTGATTAGTTGAATTGTCTATAAGCTCTGACACTTTGTTTAGACGCATCTGCACAGTTTAGCATTGAAATTTAAATTTTACCAAGCACACATCAGAATGATCCATTTTACAGACTTAAGATAAAGGTGATTGCAATCATGCAGGTTTAGGGATTTTACTTCCAAAGTAACCAAAGTCATGATTAGGTCTAAACTTTCCACCACAGCTAATTCTGTAGCATAGTCAATTTTTACTTTATTCATCATGAAAAAGTATTTTACGAATCGCAAGTACAACAATGAAAAAATATGAAATGCAAATGACTCCTATTCGTACCAGTTTGGCCTGCTTACCGAACACGAAGAGCATGGCGTCAATGACATTATTCTTTCCACGACCATGAGGACCAACAACTGCAGAAAATCTCTGTCCAGTAGCGAAATTTTTGTATAAAGGGAACGAACTTAATTGCTTAGATAATAAAAATTAATTTCTTAAGTACTCAATTACAGGATTATGTAGAAAAACAAACCCTAACCTTGTGAAATGGGCCAACATGCTGTTCGCCCGCATAAGATTTGAAGTTTCTCATCACCATCTTTAATGAATAGCCTCGGAGGTCTAGATCCAGCACACGGTGCGCATTCGTAAATTCGTGGGAGTTAGAAAATTCCATATCTACGGCCATTTTTTATTACGAGAAGGATTTCCGAAGATAAGCTTTGACTGTACAGAAAAAGAAGACCGTGGCTTCGGAGCGTCAACTCCGGCGAAGTGCTGGAGCAGAATAGGAGCGTGAACAAGATTATTTTGTTAGTACTAGCGCAAGAATTTAAATTTTCGGAAAAGGGTCATATATAGCACGGAATTATGCCAATTAGGACACATATGCCTTTCGTTAATATTTTGGCACAAATATGCTCAATTCGTCCAATACTTGCTTATTCATGCCCTTAGTTTAGCGAAACCATTATTATGTCTTTCTTAGATAATTAATAACTGGACCCAACTAAAATCTGCTGACCCGATCCGTTAGGATCCGATCCACCCTTATTTTAAAGATATTTTTGGATATATTATTTTTGTTGAAATTGTGTGATAATCATATTTATTTATTTGAGTAATTTAATAATCGATTTTTTTTGTTATATATTATTTCGGGAAGTAATTCTAGTAAAAGTAGTAATTGATATTTATTTATTATTTTAATAATATAATATTTGAATTTAGTTTGTGCTTTCTTCAATCATTTTACCATTTATTTTAATTTTTTCTCAGTAGTGCTTGTTATGAAATAACTAATTAATAAAAATGAAAAGAAGCATCATTGTTTTAACAATTTATTATTATTTCATAAAAAAATTGTAATGCAGAAAATAATCCAATAAACTAATTCAACATATAATGATCACTTATCTAAACAAAAAAAAGGATGCATCAGGTTAATTTATAGTGAACATGGAGTTATTTATATTTGTATTGGTGAAAAATACAAAATAGATTGTGAGAAAGATAAAAATGGATGGTAAAATGATTGAAGAAGCACAAATTAATTCGAATATTATATTATTAAAATAATAAATAAATATCAATTATACTTTTACTAGGATTACTTCCGGAAATGATGTATAACAAAAAAAAAATTCGATTATCAAATTACTCAAATAAATAAATATGATTATCACACAATTTCTCAATCAAACAAAAATAATATATCAAAAATATCTTTGAAATAAGGGTGGGTCGGGTCCTAACGGATCGGGTTAGCAGATTTTAGTTGGGTCCGGTTATTAATTATTTAAGAAAGACAAAATAGTGGTTTCGTTAAACTAAGGGCATGAATGAGCAAGTATTGAACGGATTAGACATATCTGTCCCAAACTTTTAATAACGGGCATATCTGTTCTAATTCGCGTAGTTCATTGTCTTATATGACCCTTTTCCGTTAAATTTTTAGCGAACAAGAAGGAATATAGGCGGGAGCCTCCGATACGAGTTGGGCTCCAATAATAAGCTCTTGTATTTCACAAACCCAGCCCACTAAGTTAAATATCCTAAACGGACCTGTGAGCAAGTCATCGGCCTAATTTCCAGAAGCCCAAATTATCCACTTTTTCCAAGTCATGTGAAAAGTTACTACCTTTTAGTACTCTTTTTTCGTCGCGGTGTTAACTATGACAACAATTAGATATTGGTTTGAGAGCTTTATGTCAAATGCAACTCAGAGAAAGTGACAATTTGATTTTCAGAAGGCAAGTTCAAAATACTTATTACACTTGAAATGGTAGGTAGAAACAATTTAGAGGTATAAATCAATTTTCAAGCATCGCAATGGTATGTATGCCTTTACACCTTAATTTTGGTGCTCGTCTCCATAGTACCGTTTCCGGTCCGGCCCAAACTGGTTGTAACCCAGAACAGCCTGGGTCAGTAGTTAGGGGGCCGAGTGGGCTCGGTTTGGGAGGTTGGTCCTTATAAAAAAAAATCTGATTAATCGGACCGGTCAATAAAAAATACTGTTGAACCGGTTAACCGGCCCGCCCCGGACCGGTTCAACGGCTATTTTCTCAATTTTTATTTTTATTTTTAAAGGGATATGACCGTTGGCAACGGTCAACTTCAATTTGGTCGTTGCCCAACGGGTTGATTGCAAGAATAGCCCTTTTTTGGGCAATTTTTTTGAAAAAATAACACATTTTTTTTGGTAATTAAAGTGTTTTATTTATCAAGTAACAATATTTACAGTTCGTACAATCTATTACAAAATCGCTCTAGCATATCTCCTACTGGACATGAAGCCCCAATTAAGAGATACCTATCAGTAAAGCTTTTACTGCTAAAAACTGCTTCATGCTCGTTTACTTCAGGGTACCAATTAAAATTAGCCATTGCTCTAGCTACACAAGAAAATTTGGCTGCCCTTATATGTATTTCCTGAATGATCAGTCGTAGTATAGCATTGCTTGTTCTCTTTTCTTTGGAAAAATCACATTGTTTATTTCTTGCCAAATGTGGTATACTGCAGCTGCTAGTGTCATCCTACATATTGTTGCACCTGCACTCTTACCTTTACTCACCTGTGCCAGCCATGTCACTTCCTCCTGTCAAGTTTTCTTTGATCTTTGTATACATTGCCATTCCAGTAGTCGATTCCATATATTCCATGTTACCTCACAGTCAAAAATATGTGTTGCACTATCTGATTTTCTTTGTTACACAATGAGCATGTTTGTTCTGTAATTATACCCCATCTTGGTAGCCTTTCTTTAGTAGCCAGTCTTTGCTGAATTGCCAACCTTAGAATGAATGTCCACTTGGATTTTCCCTAGTTGTTGCATACTAATTTCCTCCATGTCATCTTTGGAAATTCTCTTTGCATGGCTTTGTAAAATTGTTTGACAGAGCATTTCCCATCTTCTGAACATCTTCTTCAGAGCTTTGAAGATCTTTTGTATGGCCCATGCTGCACTCCTTGGTTCTGTATTTCAGACTGTGTTCCCCTTTATGTAGTAAGTATGCACTCATTGTACCCAAAGCTTCTCCTTCCTAGTACAATTACTCCACAGCAACTTGCAAATGGCTGCTTTGTTCCACAACTCCACATTTATGAAGTTCAATCCCCCAGCTACCTTTGGTGTACACAATCTTTCCCAGGCTATCAAAGCCTTCTTTGTTGGTTCAACATTTTCTGTCCATAGAAACCTTCTACAAATAACTTCTACGAAGTGGATGATTTTCTTGGGCAAGATAAAGATCTAAGCCCAAAAAGTTTGTATAGCAAATATCACACTTTTGACTGGTACTGTCTTCCTGTATATGAGAGAAACTTTGTGGTCCAGCTTTGAATCCTACTCAGCATCCTCTCTATTAAGGGTTCACATTGTATAGCAGACAACCTCTTAGTGCTCAAAGGAACACCCAGATATCTAAATGGAAGCTCACCCTTTGTATAGCCTAGCATGTCCATAATTTGCTGCTGAATCATGTTATTCATACCACCAAAATAAATGCATCTCTTATTTGGATTAGCAATTAGGCCTGATGCTGCTGAGAACAATTGGAAGTGCTTGTGCAGTATCTGTACTGATTGAATATCACCTCTACAAAATAGAAGTAAGTCATCTGCAAATCCCAGCTGAACTAGATTAAATTTAGCACACCTTGGGTGGAATCTAAACTGTTTATTGTCCTTTAGTGTTTTCAGTGACCTACTTAGGTATTCTATTGCGAGAACAAATAAGAAAGGGGATAGTGGATATCCCTGCCTTAAACCTTTTCTTGCCTCAAATGGTACAGAAGGTTTACCATTGATTAGCATAGAGTAGGACACAGTTCTGATGCAGGCCATTATCCACTTCACAAACATTTCAGGAAAGTTCAGTAGTCTCAGCACTTGTTCAATATACATCCATTCCACAGAGTCATATGCCTTTTGCATATCTATTTTGAGCATACATCTAGGAGAGATATTCTTCCTTCCATATCCTTTGACCGTTCATGGCTCATAAGTATGTTATCTTTAATCAATCTCCCAGGTACAAAGGCAGCTTGACAATTGTCTACCGATTCTTCCATCACATCTTGCATTCTTGCATTGATCACTTTTGAAATGATCTTGTAGAGGACTGTACAACATAAAATTGGTCTGAAGTCTGTTATATTTGTTGGATTTTGAATCTTTGGTATTAGGGTAATTGTTGTGCAGTTCATAGCTTTGCACATCTCTGCATTTTCAAAGAATTCTTGAACTGCTGCAGTGACTTCCTCCCCTAGTATGTGCCATGTTTTCTTAAAAAAGTAGGAGTTTTACCCATCACACCCTGGTGCCTTGTTATCATCAATGTCCAATATAGCTTGTTTCACTTCTTCTCTGGTAACTGGTCTTATTAGCTGCAATTGTTGCCTCCTATTTAGTATATGGCCATTCTGCATGATCTCAGGATTAACAACTAGCAGTTGTGCTGCTGCAGTACCAAGTAAAGTCCTATAAAAGCTTAGAATTTCTTCCTCCACTTCTGCTGGACTTTGTAGGATTTGCCCAGTGCTAATGACTAGTTTGCCAATGCTATTCCTTGCTTGCCTATTTTTCATGCAGGCATGGTAGTATGCTGTATTGGAATCACCAAGTTTAAGCCACTGTATCCTAGACTTCCGTTTTAGAATACTTTCCTCAACCATCAGCCATTTCTCCAGTTCTAATTTTGTAGCTTTTTCAAGGGCTATTTCCCCATCCTCTTGGCCTGGGATGTTCGTTTGATCTTGTATACTTTCTACCCCCCCCCCCCTTGTTGCTTGTATCTTGTTCTCTATTCCACTGAATTCTTGCTTATTCAGGTGTTTTAGGGCCCCTTTCAGAGTTTTGAGTTTATTCCACACATATAGCATGACAGGTCCTTCTTTGTTGTTCCTCCAGATTTGCTTTACTGTTCTACAATTTTTTTTTTTAGTTCTTTTGGCTTATAAACTATATTCAAACCCCTCACATTCCATGCTATAATATTTTCTCCCTCACACATTGGGCTTGAGATAGTTGAACTATCTTCTAAGATGTATCAACTAGTGCTTTGAAGGCATTGCAATGTCCACTTCATTCTCCTTTGTCACTTCTGCATTCTTCTTTGTAGCAGATTTTCTTCGAGCAACTTGCCACTGTGTTGCTGTTTGGACTCGATAATTGCCTAGATCCGGCCAATTTGGGTCGTTGTCACTGTCCCGATTCAGATCCTCCTCCCGCATTTTCTCTTTTGCTTTATATTTCGTTTACCTTGCTCGCGTGTGATGATATCCATCAATTTCCTTTCCATTACTGGTGTTTTGCTGAT